CGGTGGTATCGAGAACGGCGGCGTTGAAGCCGTCTCGTCGAGAGCTTCCCGAGAATGCATCGTCTTTGTCGTGGGGTAGACTAATCGAATTTTGGAGATCGGTCCAGGGGGTGAGCCATCTTGTGTCGTATACTGCTGTAATCAGTCGCATTGTATGCACACATTCACCACCATCATCGTGATTCTTATGTACCAGCGGGCTGTGTGACAACTATTTGGGATGGAAGGGCGACTCTCTGCGGAGCGTCTGCGCTCTCGAATCTGTTTCTGACAACATTCTTTGTTTGGTGGCAGCATCATTCACGGGTCGTTGGATTTACCCGTCCCTGACCTCGGCGGATTCCTCACCCGAAGGGAGCTCTTCGTGGAAGATGGCAGCGCCTGAACCTGTTCCAGAGAAGACCGTTTGGGAGGCAAGAAAACGACTCTGCTGTGATGACTCCGGTATTTTAGCGTAATAATGGATCTGTGTGTGCCTGGATGCATACAGCGCATTCGTTGCGTGCGAGACGGTGTGTATGTAGACTGTATGTACACAAGTCTGGATCTTGCCGCGATCAACACAAGGTAGATACAGATCTGTGGTAGAGAGCCCGGGGTATGTGTGTTGCTGTCATGTGACTTTGGTAGGCAGAAGACCTATGGCGGAGGGCACTCTGCTCTCACTGTTCGTATACCCTTGAGTGTGTTGAAGATGCCTGTATGCCTTTGAGGACGGTAGACGAGATCAAGACTCTGAGACCACAAGGCGGCGGGTGAGAGAGTGCACCACCGCAGCCAGAACTACCACCCCAGAGAGCCACACGCGAACGCTCACCGTGCATGATTGTCGTCACCTATGCATACATACATACACCCGCGGAGATGTTTTCTCTCTTGCCCCCGATGTCTTCATTCTCGCCTAGACTATACCGCAGAAACGAGTTGCCAACCGTGATGAACACTGCTTGTTGTGCCTGTGTAGACTACATGCTTTGTGCGTAAACCGATTGTTTGTTGTGTACCAGCATGTAGACTAGTCTACTGCTGTACGTGACTCGCACCACAGCAACAAACGTTTTCATCACCTGAATGCCACATCGTGTTTGCTGTGTAGTCTACTGTAGACTCGCCATCTACATTCTAAAGTCATGAACAGCATACAGACCTCTACTGTTGTACTCTCTAGACGAAATCCTACCCACACGCCAAGACTACTGTCTTACTCCCTGTGATGGGATGGGCAAAAACATTCTTGCTATCTGAGGTACGGCTGTGGCAGAGATGTCTGCAGTAGAGAGATGTCTACAGGTATGTCTGTGCTCATGCCTCAGACCGCACTTCGAAATATCAATATTAAAGTGCGCAAGGAGAAGGCGAGGGCGTGCCCTCGGGTACCTCCGAGTGCTCCGTTCGTCAAGATCTGCCACCCGACGAGGTCTGCTGGAGGTAAGTTGATTGTTCGAATATCCACAGCAACACAGCAAGGGTAATGCAAGGACAGATCGTTGTCCCGCCTGAAAAGTTGCACCTGGTACATGTCGATTCACGACGTACTAACAAACAGCGTCTCTGTCGGCGTGCCACCCGAAGCTTCTCCGCATCACGGTATGCTCGGGCTGCTGTAGTGCTGTCTTGTATGCATAATAGACCCGTCTTGTGGACTGTACGCTCAGGGCGTACCGACGGCTTGCGCGAGAAACCCATGGATTGTTTGCCCGCTATGGCCCTGAGTATCGTGCCTTTTTCTTGCCTTCGCGTGGCCCGGAACTCACGGCTCGAAACTATTGCAAGGTCGTATGTCTCGTGCTTGGGTCATGAACTCGAATCAATTGTAGGCAACGAGTTTCGTTCGAGCGGAAATGTAGATGAGGTTTGGACACCTTGGATACCTGTTGCCCCTCATGTCTAATGCTGTCGTCCGCAACGGCGCTTCTGGGCAAGGTGTCTTGAGCATCGACGACGGCGCCTATCAAAAACCACAGCATGACCGGGGCGGCATGCGCACAGAGGCTCAGGCGGGGTACAACAGCCCTACAGTAACACAAGGCGATCCAATAGATGTTGTGTACATCTGAACGCTCGGCCCTGCTCTCCGTCGGTCGACCAGGTGGGTCGAGCGTTGCGTGCAGTCGACCCCCGCCTGAAAGCTGATTGGATAAACTGGGCCGAAAATGGCGCGTGTATCGCGGAGGAGGTTCACCAGAAAAAGAAGTACCAGGACGCATCATCAATAGACAGTAGGCATGGCTGTTTCGGGGTAGGACTTGCCCGGACCTCCTGCGTCGCAGCAACGACTACGAGGCAGGGGCACGCCGAGGTCTCGCTTGGCCGTCGATCGGCGGAGAGAAGCGACTCGTTGCAACGACGACGGAGGCGGCTACGCGCCTGGTGCGAAAAGGTGTGTTGAGAAGAACCAAGTGCTACACGCAGCCTCTGGCAACTGCTATATGTAGTTCTGGTGATTGGGGTCCTTGTTTGTCACACTGTTCGAAGGAGTTGCACTCAGACGACGTGGAACAGGGCATCTGCCTTCAACGATTATCGTGCTGCCCTTGAGACAGGGATCGTTCATCTTTTGCTCCGGCGTTGTGGCTATTGGGGGAACAACGCATAGGGCTCTTACCTGCACCAAATTAGCATTCATTGAACCAAGTGGCCGCCTTTCCTGTCTTCCGGCCGGTCAGTCCCACTTCACAGACTAATCCTGGTCCCTGGTCTGTCCATATTGCCTGTTCAATACCTTTGTCGGATCAGAAGCGACCACGATTCTTCCCCTTCCAGCTGTACCGTATCGCACGGGATGCTACGATTGAGATACAATCTCGGTGATTTTCAACCGATAGTCATTCAACTTTTGCAGATTTAGTGGGAAAAGCAGGCAGAACCCTGAGATTTGCTGCGCAACGCCCCACCCCCAAACACCGTGATAGAACCCGAAGCTTTTTCAAGCACTACGCAAAGCGATGTTTTGGTTTCTTTTTCGTCTTCTCTCCAAGAATACCCCCGGAATGTCTTTTATTGCCCAGTTGCGGGCCGCCTCGTGCCGAGGTCTTAGTAATTCAGGAGCAACAAAAATGCTGTTGACGTTATCGTCGTACCTCTGCTGTTGCTGCCACATTTGTTTGTTGTTTTTGTCACTTCGTATCCTAATCTTCAACATGACATTGAATCATCCCCTGGTCTTCATCCACCTGGAGCTGCTCCGCCGGGGGGTCATGTTGTTTGTCGAACGACCCTCCCCAGGCCCTCCCCCTCCAGGAACACACTTTCCACTAGACCCATTCGTGTTCACCACGGGGCTCATCGCAAAAGGGTTGTGATCGCTTCCGATGGTTGTGTCGCTGCCCTTGCCCGCCGTGCGCACGCCAAGTAGGCTTGGGGATCTTTTCGACCCGCGACCAACGCCGATCATTCCGCACCGACGGAGGAGCCGCCGGCTCGTGAACTACTATTCATTTACAAGAATCATCTCACTTTCGTCGGTTCCAATCGGGATGTGCGGCCCCTTATCCGCGAGGAAATCGTCGAGAAGGGGCCGGCGGTGGCGGCGGCGCAAGAGACGGGAAAGGCAGCGCCACAAGGCGAGGCTGTCGGTAGTCGCTCGCGAGAGCATCGACCGGTGCTTGTTCCATGCCTGCGGTGTGCTCGAGGCGTTGGTTCTGTGTCCGCTCCGCGAGTGAGATTCTCGACGGCAACGGCTGGAGCAAAGCAGAAGCAAGAGCAGCCGGGGCAAGGGTGGACGACAAAGACGGACGAGGCCTCCAAACCATTCCCCGAGCGGTTCCCCGCCGGGAGTCACGAGGGCTCTAGCGAGTGGGAAGGGGCGGGTTCAGTAGTCCCAAGCGAAGGGGAAGGGAGCGCTCTTGCTGGTGATATATTGCAGAACCCTCGGCTGTCGCCAGGCGACGGAGCCGACGAGCAGGAAGGCCGAGTGGAAGGCGTGGTCGCGGCGAGCGTTCGCGCCGGGGACTGGATTCTGCCGGCCCGTGGTCTTGCAGATGTCAGGCGCAGCAGCAGGGGCGGCGGCGGCGGCACAACCCGGGCGAGAGGAGGCAGAGGAGGAAGCAGATGGCTGAGAGTGGAAGCTGTTTCGATCGGGTGAGCTCCTTATTCCGGTTTCCAGTGAGAAGAATAAGCGTGATTTTCAGCAATTCTCTGGCGGGGGACAAATCATTTGTGCTGTCAGGTGAGCAAATACGAGCTAGACAACACTACTGCAAAGCCTTTGCTGAACCTTTACGGCGCTTTCACGACTTCCGTAGTGACAGCAGGCTGACTGTGTTCTTTGATGCGCAGCTCCCCTTCTTTCGGCCTACATTCTCTGCTGTATCCCGGTGCTCGCAGCAAAGAAGAGAGCATCATACTTGCCACACAAGGTACAGGGGAGACAAGAGCACCAGAGCTTCGTGCCTCCCTCAAGCTTCTGGAAGTCTGCATAGCTTCACTACCTGGGTCTCTAGTCGTACGGCAAACACCATCTCCCGATCATGATCATGTCGTGGGAAGGAACGAAGATGCAATGGAGGCGGAGGGAGGATTCACGGAAGCATTTCGGCTCCCTGGTAAGAGAGAGAGGGTTGTGCCTAGTCGCCTTGCGCGGCTCATGTGTTGGGGTTTCCCGAAACGGTTGTCATTGCTGTTTTCGGGCCATCAGCAAAGGCCACAGATTAGGGTTAGGGTTAAAATCGAGGTATTATTATTGCACTCCCAGTTTGGTGTAGGCTCGGAAAAAGTACCGACGACGTTTCGGGGCCCAGTAACTACGCTGGGTCGCTTGGGTCGAGGCGCTTTCACTTGCCGCATCTCTTGAACGAGCAGCTGGCGGACGGGTACATCGCGCTCCAAAGAAGCAACTCAACGCCAAGTACTTCCTAGAATCTCTCCTGGTTTCAAATTTGCTAGCCCCTTGTCGGTGATGGCTGTGTATTTTTGGTTGCTTCCGATCAATTCTGGGCGCTACTTTTTAACACTCGGTAAAGGTTTGACGCGTGGTACCATTCATCCTCAAATTCACCACAATGATGGATCGAACAAAGGAGGTCTCTCCACATTCTTTAGTAAGAGGGCTGCAACCTCTGCATTGCGACCCGGACTTGGTTTGTTGTCAAAGTCGGCTGTGGGACTGCAGAAATCCAACCTGTGGAAGGGACAGAGGGAACACCAAGCCGTTACTCGCCTTACGGCGCACACCTTCAGTTTGTAGTAGGAATCTGAGAGTGCTTGAATCTCGAACACAAGCCCACAAGATGTTCCCAAGCCTAGCACCGAATATAGCACCGATGAAGATTGTCTCAACAGCCGGAAAAGGGTTTCACGACATACCCCCACTCAGTGTGATAAGCCAGCGGGGTACAGGCGCCCACTTTTCTTGCCCATCACACACCGATCGCCTGTTGCTATCTCACGCGCGGCCGCTGACAAGTTTTGTGCGCCCAGTGGGGATTGAGCCTCCTTCGACAATGGGCGGCAGACGACACCGTCTTCAACGCCTTCGAAAGGCCATCGCCCAGCGAGGAGGACGCACAACGGCCAAGCAATGGACACCTGAACGATCGAAGCGGAGTGCGCCGCCGAGAGCAAGCGAGGGCGACGGTGGTCCCCTGCAAGGGGAGCAGCACCACGGCGAGGGCTTCTTCTGCGTGCACGGGAGGACTCGGACACGGCGGGGGAGACTTACGATTGACTGCAACCCCTCGGGAGCGGGAGTTGTCCTTGGCGTTGGAGGCGACGCCCTCTGTTGGCGAGGAGGTCGCGGTCGACCTCTTCACGCCAGGTGGGGAGATTGCGTGCGTGCAGAAGGGGCGGATGCAGTCGCGGGCACGGACGGCCTTTTGTTCTCGCTGTGCACCTTTCGGGGGGGGGAGAAGAACGGCATCATGTAGGGTCGTGAAGAACTATCTCAGTAGGAGCTGCTCGTTATTGTCGTTTGCCTTATTCCGGGAATGTTCTTCTGCTGTCACCAAGCAACGTTCTCATCCCCTCTCTCACCGTGCCAACTGCAACTCAACGTCGATTTCCGGTGGACAGGGAGCAGGGCCCAGTGGACGGCTCTGTACCGCGGCCGATCACGCGGTAAACTGCACGTGGACGGGCTGGAACCTTGCCGCCGGTATCGCTTTCGATCACGCCTCTCGACGCCGATGGGAGCAGGAAGGCGGGGGGGGTCGTGGAGGTGGGTACCTGCAAGCGGCTGATGTGCGATACGCGGAATTGGAGTATGTTGTGGTATCGTGGGAGCGGGCTTGGGATGAAATGTGTGCCAGCATTTCGAGAGCCCGTTCATTTGTGACCACCAAATCAAATATTTTCCTTTCGGAAGCAGGACCCGGGACATCCACAAGGCACAGAATCCCGAATGACTTCTAACGCTGTTTGGAACTATAGGCGCTCCAACACGTGGGCAACAATACACAGAGAAAAAGTTGCTTTGCTCTGCTGCAATGCATGCTTGACTGATAATGTGGAACTGACATCAATCAAATATGTCACGCAGGCACGCCTCCTTCTGTACTCTTCCGGAACGACCTCCTGCGCCCGTAGCGGCGGGCTGGTTACCGGGTGAGCGGGAAAACCTTGTCATAGGTGTACAGGCAGTGCTTCGTGCGGCAAAGAGAAAAAGAGCTTCCCGCCTACGCTAGTGGTCGAGCCTGCGCTTCCTGTTTAAGAATTGAACAGCATTGTAGGGTGGAAATTGCAGGCCTACAATTGCACTCCTGTACATACACCGAGAGTTGCGTCAAGTTGCATTCTGCTTGCACATGTCAACCTAATACAGGCGGGCCGGCCCTGTCGGCAGAGACACCCTGCCTCGGCGACGACCTCGATACGAGCGGTGGAAATTCCTGCCTGAGGCGGCTGTCGATACTGAGCGGAGGCGATGCTCGTGGAAAGAACGGGTTTAAGAATCTCCGGCTCAAGATGGGAGAAGAACGGATTTCGACCTGTGGACGACCCGAAGGCATCCCTTTAGCGTCTGAGACCGCGACGCGGAAAAAGACGGAAGGACGTTGGGTGAGCGTCGGGCTGGATGATGCGCGGAGAGGAAGCATCTTAAGAGATTATTTCCTATTGATTTCCCCTGAAAAAACGATTCCCAACGAAGACGAAACGACAGCCGTTGGTGAGCTACTGTGAATCGAATGCTCCTCCCCCCGTGAACATGTTCATGGGGTGTATCCTACGTCTCAAGTTGCTCGCAGAAGATTTCACGGGAGATTTCGCTCGGTGTATCGCCAGAATGGCCAGGAATTAGACGGTTCAGTACCAACTGTGGTCGCAAGTATTGGCATGGTTTGAGGGCTATGGTGTGGCCGTGTGTGATACTGACTGCCCCCCCCCCCAACGATGCTCCTTACTCAAACGATCCTACATTGAGGCACAAAGTCGGCCGAAGATTGCGGCATGTGGGTGGTCGAGTGCCGTACTCGGCTACGATTCACAGGTGGCTACGCCTGGTGCACAGATGACCGGACCGCCTTGGAGTGGGCTGGCGGTGCGAGTGCCACGAAAGGCCCCACGGAGTCTGGCGTGAATTCCGCCGGGGCGGCGGCCGACGACAGGAACAATTCCAGCACCACGATAAATCTTTGCCACTCAGCACAAGGCGACGCCGACGACGACGGGGGGGGCCAAGAACTTCGAAGTGAGGAGGGCACGGGCGCCGGTGCGCCGTGGGAACTCGTGTATCGGGGCAGGCGCTCGGAGTGCGTAGTTGGATCCCTCTCGCTAGGTGAGTGAAACATGCGGCGTTGCGTCCTCGCTGGGCTGCATGCGTGCCGTTGTGTGACAGGCGGAGGGGCGCATGCGTTACCACGCAGCAAGATCATTCTAGCCCGTTCATGTGGGGTACCTTCAGGCTCAATCTTCATTGCATTGGATGGAAAGGGGTCCAAAATAATCGGCGAGCTTTGAGACGTGTTGTTTGATCCTCATCCCACGCTATCGGCGCCCGTCACCCGAATCCACGAGCAGGCTCGAGCTACGCGTTCCGCTGCGCGAGAGAGAATGCAGACGGGCAGGTTGGCCCTTGGTCGACCGATCTCCGGTGCACCGTTCCCGGGTCTACTGAGAACTTCGACCGCAGAAGCAGCGGCGGCAACCGGAAAAGTAACACCAGCGACAACCGTATGACCTCAAGAGCCGACCCACACGTCGCCGGGGACGCAACACGACTCCTGAATGGTATCGGCAGCTCCGACGCAATCGCAGGGAACCAGCCACGCCCTATGCCTGAAAGCAAGGCCACGGAATTTCAGCCGCGGTTCAACCTCCTCGTGCCGGCTTTGGTCGACGTGTTCGCCCGCCTTGCCGAGGACGGCAGTCGCTGGATTGGCAGCACGCACTCGACGCCCCTACGGCAACCACCGCCCCGGGCGGTGGCAAGCAGTAGGACAGCAGCAACTTCGGCCGCTACTCCTGCCGCCACCGCAGACTCGACGTCGACACAAACTGCCCACGACCGCGAACATCAACATTGGGCGTCTTCCAAGGGAAGTGGGTCGGCACAACAGGGGGAGACGGCGAAGATGGTGTGGGACGAGCACTGGGATTCCGAACGCCGTATCCCTTTTTTTTGTCTCCGCGGGCGTGACCTGTCGGTATGGCAGATTCCGGCCCTCTAACACACCACCCGTCGTACAAATGATGATGAAATGTTGTAACCCACTCCGGCCGTCGTACGGGGTACGCAGGGCACGGGTGCGGTGGAACAATCTGCAAGTCCAGAAACGGAATGGGGTTTATGGATCGTAGGCGCCTGATGGGGTTCAGACACCATCAATACCTACGAACAATGATGGGAGACGTCACCGACGTCATGCTCCACCAAAGGGTGCCGGCACAAGCCTAACACCACCAAACAATGAATGCGCCACCGACCACGGGATGTGCCGCAGCACTAACAAGACCTACATGGGACGCAAACATTTCGTTGTCTGTATAGCGCAGAACTGACAATAAACTGCTGTAGCCAGGGGGAAGTTTTTTGTGTGCATCCGGGCCCAGTACAGTTGTGTTGTTGTTGTTGTTGTTGTTGTTCTTGTTCTTGTTGGGGTTCGGGTTGTTGCTGGTGTTGGTGTTGGTGTTGACGGTTTCATGTTGAAACCGTTCTGAGCTCTACTCAGTCTCTCCACATGACCGATAGTACTCAACACAAAGGAAAACAGGTTTCGGGGGCGACGCTCTCACCTAGTATCGACAAAAAAAGACACTCCGAAACGACCCTCACGACGCGGGCAACCACCAAATCCCACACAACAGGTAAAACCTTAGTCGAGCAAGCTAAGGAAAACAACCCAAACACGAGCGAAGACCTCACCGCCCTGACTCAGAGATTGAGCAGGAAGCAACCACCGATCGAAACAATGGCACATCTGACGAAAGATTACCTATCTTCTGTCCCTTTGCCGCAAAAGTGGGGAGTCCAGCTGTCGTGTTCTTAACCGACTAGGCCCATCGCCCAGACGCACAGGGAAACGGCTTGGCAAATCACCCTACTAGCGCCGCTCACGCTGTCAGGCCGTGTTCGCGTTTGAGGGATCGACTACCCGAAATATGCTCTGTGCGACGTTCGCCCTCGTGCTCTACGGCATAGAATCAAGCGGTGCTTGCTGTGCCGCCTGATTTGCACCGTACAACCCGAACTGCATTCACGGACATTTTATGCCATGGTGCAGCCGCAACAGGACTGCGGAGGCTCAGTGGCATGGTAAGGGACCCCCTGCTTGACTTCGTTCCACCGGTAGAAGTTCCATGTGCTGTCCGCATCGCGGCTGACGGAAGATGACCCGAATATCTTCACCTTTAAGCGCCACAAGATGAAAATACGACATGGACATATGAATCCGGGCGGTGGGGGACGGGGGGGACTTGATTGTCGTCGCTGTCCTTCTTGTGCTGTATTTTTCTCTCGTAGTGGGACGGGACACGAAGAAGGGCGCTATACGGAGGACACTCGTCTGGTGCTTGACATCTGGAGTGCGTGAAGGAACAATGGTTGGTGTACCTGCTACAGCACCCAAGGTCATTCCTCATGTTCCCGTGGGAGACAAAAAACGCGCATTTCATCTCCCTATAGCCTGTTGCAAAGCCCACGCCAGGTTAGGGGTTGTTGAGAGCGTCATTTGTTCGTTGGCAGTTGGCAGGTGTCGAGACATTCATGTTACTGCGCGCGGTGGACGCGGTCCTATTCCATGTCAATTTGGAGTTTCGAGAGAACATATTCCGTACCTCGGTAGTCGCCAGCTGGAACCGAAACCCCTCGTTGGGCTGAGCTACCATGCGATGGGATCTGACGTGCTCGTATGCGTGCTTCAGTCGGATCCGATGGCCCTCCATAAGGTGCAACAGCACTATGGATACCGAACGAGAGCACCTGGAGAATGTATCCAGTGAAAGAGTTTGGCAAGAGTTTCGTGTAGTCTAAGGTTCGAGGCCTGTGTGCCTTTGGCTCGGTGTGGGTCTCGCCGAACACTCCTGATAATATTCTCTATTGGTGCGTGGCCGGTGAAAATATTTTGATCAGTCCTCGTCCGTCCCTGCTTAGAGGGCACGTGGTATTTTCTCTCTGTCACGCCGAGATGGCAAGAGACCACGGAAGGTGTCGACCTATCGAAGGCCAAGGTCATGACTAACTCGCCCAACCTTTGGCATCTGCTCTACGCGTCCAATCTATACGTCCACTGCAGTAGTAATCAGCTCCCCATCTCTTACCCCGCGATACAGTGTACGAGAGCACGGCCGCCGCAGTCCTCGACCTGTCGGAGAAACGAGATTCCAGCTTTCTGAAACGGTGCCAGCTCTTGCTCGCTTGTGTCTTTACGATGCACGCAGTAGGATGAGAACAAAACGCGCATGGCTTAGAAACCCCGGCAGGCGAAACATTACAGTATGAAAGCGATTGGTGCGAAGGACGTGCCCCGACACGTTTTTTAACGGGCAGGAGGAGGAGAAAGAAAGTTCAGCCCATTCAGGAAAAATAGGATTGAGGCAGGGCGGGGCGCAAGTGATGCTACGAAATGAAACGGGATCTACACGAAACAACTTTCTCATGGAGCCCACATACGTTAGGGTGTGTGTTTGGATGGTTCGCAGAATTGTGTTCGAGATTAATTGAGGGAGTTATTCCCCCACAAACCCTCACGCATTGACGACGTCTTGATTTGTTTCCCCTGTGCTGGGTCCAACCAGTACACGGACTCCAGCTTGAAGTTGCTTGCTACCGACTCAAAGTGCGAAGCTGTTGTTCTTGGTCAACACGTTCAGCAGCTGAGCTATCGAGAGGGCGCGTGCTGGAAACGGTTTTCGATTTTCATAGTTTGACGACCTAGATTGTTCTCTCTTTTTCCCTGATTTTTCCCTGGCCCCGAGCCTATCAATCCTGGAGGGAGAGCCAACGAGCTCCGTCGCGATAAGAGGTAACCACACAAGGCACTTGTTGGAGGTGGCGCAACAGAGGCAGAACAGAATCTCAAATTGGGCGGTAGCGGCCCAATCGTTATCGTTTCGCTGACCTGCTAGTTCCAGCCGTGCGTGAACGAACTCCCTGGGGTGTGAACTCGGCAGCTGTTTGGCGCAGTTGAGGATGTGGGTAACACCTAGCTCCTTTAGGGCTTCGAGGTTCTTTGCGTCTTCTCTTGCGCCGATGCAGATATGCGGACTCACCAACGACGGACCCCCCCTGTGTAACATGAAGCCCACTTTCAATCATTTGATAAGATTGGCCGCCTGGCAAAGAGCTTCACCCATGCAAAACTGCCATTCCAGACCCTGCTAATTTATTTCCTGGCATAAGCTAGGCCCAGCACACACAGATTTCACGGTTTGAACAAATTTGGTCTAGATATGCTGACTCTAGTCAACGGATGGTAAATCCAGTGAAGCGACTCAAACGCAAACTTTAATAGATCGCCATTTGACTCGTGCTACGGAGATCTCTGCAACAGCTATGAAAGGACGAAAAACACGCCGATCGAAGACAGGCGTGATCCAGTCGCTCGGAGATGTACCCAATGAACCTTCCAGGTTTGATTCACGAAGTGTTGGCAAAATGTATTACTCAAATGTGTTCTTTGTTCTGCCTGGAAAGAAGAATCAGCAACGATTCCCTGGCATCCACGAAAATATCACGCATCTTTTCGGTTTCGTTCTTCCACCGGGATGAAACGCACGGGTTGGGCTCGAGACGTTCGGCGTCATCACCCACGTAGGCCTTGGATACCCCTATCCAACAGATCCGAATTCTCACTTGTGTGTCTTTAGAGCAAGCATGGCCGATGATGCAGGCCCACGCCCGCCAATTCCTTCCAAAGTCGGACCTGGATGCCGGTTTCTCCCCTCCTGCCGTAGGAGAGCGAGTCCACGAAGTGAACAACGCGGCCCCATCATTTTCTCGGTTAACATGTTGCATAAATTTCGTCGTTTCGTATTGCATTGGCCAGAGACAGCACTTGCGAAACCTACGTCACTTTTTGAGTCCAGCAAATGAGTTCGGGACTTTGACGTTGTGCGATGGACTCGTTGTTGACAACCCGTCAGCCGCGTGTGTGTCACCATGAACAACCCCTCCCTACACAGCGTCCTGTTGGTTGCATAAATTTATCAAACACCGGGCTGCTATAGTGCAAGAGCATGATACAGTTCCACGCCCTCAACTGGTGTATCATGACCCTCTCTATTAATCAAGCCCGGAGTTGCGATTGATCACATGCCGGAATCGCTCGGTGTTTTTGTATCATTCATGAGCAACGGAAAACCTGACGACATGAACCGTTTCTCCTGGTGGATGTGTCGATGCAACGTAAGAATTGCATTTTGTGGCTATTGAGCAATCCCCCAACGTTGGGACCCAGCGCTTATCTGTCGATTTTGTCTCGAAATCAATGGACTCATGGTCGTGGGGAATACAAACTTTATCGCCGTCCTGTTCTGAAACGCGACCTCTCCTTCCGCTCTCCCGCTCGTGAAGAATAATACTCTGCTCGAAGATTGGACCACGATCAACTACCACAGTTTGTATACGCCCACATTTCACTCCGAAACCTACACAGCAGCCTGATGTGGAGTAAAACTTTTACCATGGTATGTTTTACCTGTTGGCTACCCCGATGTTCTACATTACCAAGCCTCCTTGTAGTGAAGGAACTACAACCTTTAGCCGCAGCACCTTTGCAACGACACCATGGTACACGTTCTGAGAGAACGGACATCTTGGAGTGTACATCCAACTCAATATTTGGCGTGCGGAAAAAACCCACAAGCTCACAGAACGTACTGGAAAGCAACGGCGTTTCTCAGTCAACAGGCAGGGCAGACCTTCCGTTCCGCAACCAAAGCCTTTTCTTGGGCGGATCCTAGTGCGGGCACCGTTCCACCGTCGCCCACTCCGCCCGGCCCTCCGAAGCTGTTCCCGCCGCCACTGGCGCGGCCCTGGAGACTGGAGAAGGTTGTTACCGCCTGAACTGCTATCCCGCCGGTCCGTAGTCTCGCCATGGGAGAACGATGTTCGCTTCCGGGGCTCCCTGGCTTCCTGCGAGAAGTTGCGGCTGGGGAGCCCAAAGGCGACCTGAGGCTTCCACCCCCCCTCTTCGCCACTAAGATGTCGTCTTTGTCGGCCCCTTTCCCCCCTTGAGGGCCCCGTATCGTGTGGCGAGTCAAGACACGAAGCGGACGCAGGGTTTCCCGCTTCCCG